CCATGTGGAGTTAGCCCTGAAAATGATTATTGAGTTGATCCTCTTGGACTGGATCCGCATTCTTAGAAAATGACCTGAAATTAAGACCAATGACTGGGTAGCCTTCATTGACAACAATCACCTAATAGGCAATATCTTGGAAATTGAGTCAAATGGAGATATATTAACATCCCTCTTTATCTTTAAAGAAGATAATAGAGTAATCCCCCATCTAGAGGATGAGATCAGGTGGGTAACTATGGATCAAATTTTCAGGATTAGAGTATTACAAACTAGAAATGAATGGTTGACATTCAGACCCAACACTCCCATATCACACCTAGCAATGGACCCCGCATCATGGAAGTGGGGATCGCAACTAAAAACAAATAGGAATTACACCAGATCCCTCCATACCCTGTCAGTCAAATCAACATACAGAATGTTGAGACCAACAATCAACCTCAAGGATAGGGTGTCTAGCAGATGGATGAGGCATCTCAATCTGGACATAAATGATCTGAAGCACATTACGTGGTTTCGCAGCAAGAACTTTAAACCAACAAAAATTGCATCCTTACAATGGCAAATTGAACACATATGCCTCCCTACTAATGATTGGTTGATAGATAGAACGTCACAAGATAAAAACAATCAGTCCCAACCATGGTGCAAACTCTGCAAAACTGCTTATCCAAGTAGAATGTTTCCGGAAACAATCGAACATATATTCCTTCAATGCCCTGGTTCAATTTGGCTTTGAAGATTGTGAGACAAAATTTGGAATAACTTGGAGACAAAGTCTCAGTGGCCATGGGGCTGGAAACCCCTTCTATTGGAAGCATGGAACACCGTTCCTTTTGACGAATTTACCTACAATCTCTTTATTCTCAGTAGGAGGGCAATTCTATGGGTCATTTGGAGAAGAAGATGCATCTATGAGTGGGAAGGAGCCAGGGAGGATGGTCCTGAATTCACAGAAACCATTGAAAAACAAATTCAGACAGGCATTCTACACCAATGGGAACTCACAAAAGAGAAAATCCATTTTTTATCCAACAAAAAATAAAATTTCTCAGCAAATACAACAGTTCAACTTGATCTGGCTTGGAGGGAAACAGGGGGGAATAATAGGGAGGTGGTATGGGAAGGAGCTACAGAAGATGAGGATGGATACATCAAAAGGAAATACAAGGTTCTGTTTGAGGATTGGTGTTCGATTGATTCCTCAATTCCAGGGAGACCCCTCTCAGAATTTTCTGACCCATTCCCACTCCCCCCAAGTGTGTTAGTCCCCACCTCTTGGTTTGGGATAGGAGACAATATATGAAATAGGACAGCTAATGCTGTCAGATGCAGGACTTCTTGTGGTAACCTGACTGTGCTCTCACAATGGGGTTCATTTCGACGGGGTACATGGAAGGCAATACAAACACAGTTCGCAGGCGAGTCAGCATTATTATGAGAGGCACTAGCTCCTCATTAGTACCAGGGCTTGAGAGTGTAATCTGGCGTCACTCTATTGAGGGTGAAGAGGTACAGGGGACGCTGGGCCCGGTTCCTAGCAACTACTTGCTTTTATATCCTTGTACTACATCTTAAGGGACGCTGGACCCGTTTTCCAGCAGGTGCAGCTCCCCACCAATAGACTGGAGCCCCCAGCGTGTCAGGTAGGGGTGTATGCTCCTATCATCACCCCTATCTGATACAACGGGTTTCAAAAAAAAAAAGAAAAAAAAAAAAGCAAAAGCAAATGTGTGACATGGCTCTTCTCACTCGCTGTATTCTGATTGGCCAAAAGGCCGGGAGCCAAGTGGCTGCCTAGAAGAGCCTGGAAGGCTCAGGAGTCCTTGGTCATGCACCATGCCGGGGCCCCTCAACCAACTGGCACTAGGTAAACTGTCTGGCGCCCCCACACTCACAATTTCCCAGAGACAGGCCACACAGGAAAAATGTAGGTCTGGCTTCACTTAGGGCAGGCACAAGACTTGAGCAGGCCCTGTCATAGTCAGCTGCAGGGGCTCAATAACCAGGTGACGGGCTCATTCCTCACAAGCTACGTAGCACCGTGTTCGCGTTCGGAGGCGAACGCGAACAAACGCCCAAAACCCTCCGAACGCAAACATAAAAAATATTAGGAAAAAAAAAACCTTCTCAGAAAGATCTGAAAACAATATATGTTATATAAAATAACAATACAAGCAACTTTTGCCTTGGAGTCATATTCAAATTCGTAGCCAATCATGAGTTAAAAATAAAAAACCAAAATATATATACATATATATCGTCAAATATATATATATATATTTTTACGGAAAAAAAATTATGTTCGCCCAAACATGTTCGCAAGCTGTTCGCGCGAACATGCGAACACGTTCAGCATGCTACGCAGCTCACAAGTTTCAGTTAGCAGTCCGGTCATACCCCAAGTTTTACATGTGAAACCTGGTCCCTTTCCACAACTGGACTTCTGACTCAAAAAGTGACAAAGCGTGACAAAACTGCCAACACTTTTATTTATTTTTTTCTCCCAAAAATGACATCCTCAAATCTATTCGTGGGGAGCGGCACGTGCTGGGAACCAGGCCCTGCATCCCTTTCAAGAACATATAACGGCGATTTCGTCAAAACGGACATTTTATATTTTTTGAACAAAATTGAAATTATTATTTTCATGCTGATTTTGGTGATTTTTTTGCATTTTGAGCACACTATTTTGAGTAGGTACCCCGCATTATTTATAGTTTGTGCTGATGTTTACCACAAGTTTTACATTGCTTTCTCACACATTTTGGGGGTTGTTACAGTTTCATTCGCATTATGTGAAGCTATAGGGGTCTTCATTATGGGTTTCTATTAAACTTTTCCATCATATCGATTAACATTTACTATGTTTCGCAATATAGTATCAGTTATTTTTTATTTTTTATTGACAAATGCATTAAGACAACATACACATATTGAATATCATACTCAAAAACACATATGGCAGGTTCAGTCAATGACAAAAAAACTCCATGGACATCTATAAATGTTTGAGACTTTTCGTGCCACCCAAGAATTACGAACAACGTTATGTGAATCTTTTCGAAGTTCATGTAAAAGAAAATTGACTTC